CTCCAGGTTGAAAATGACCCATCTACCACCACTCTCTGGTGGTACTTGATGGGCACCAAAACATGGAGTCAGGTTGTTCCTCTAAATATGGTCTCAACTTCCAACCTGAATATTTGACACAGGATTTGCCAGACCAGGGCTCCATCTAGCCCAGTTTCCTGCCTCTGCTTCAGGGGACAGTTCAAGGAAGCCCTTAAAAGACCAATGCAGAGTGCTGGGCTTATGGGGGAGTCTCTTAACCTTGCCCATTGGCAGTTGCTGTTGCCTCAAGGCAGGAGGCCTCTGAACCCTCCTCAAAAGGATGGTCTCAGTATCTGCGCAAATGTCTGACAAGTGTCCCCACCTGCCCTGGGCCCAGGAGTCTCACAGAGGGCTTTTGCAAATGGTTGAGATGAAAACCCTGGGGGGGCTTTCCTAACAACTACGTGCCCCAAATCGGTGGGCACTGCCAGACCAGAAGGCTGTGGGAGAGATGCCCAAATCAAATATTTTGGTCTTTTAAAACTGTTTATTTTTCTTTTCAAAAGTTATGATGAACTGCAAAACCGAGAGTAAATACCAGGAAGGAACGTGGGGGCTCCTGCTGTTCCAGGAGGACAGGGTGGGCGGAGCTCTGGCTGTGACATTCCCTGCCCCGTCTTGCAATGGCAGGGTGGCACAGACACAGGTGAGAACTGGCCTTCCCAATGGCTGTTCTGCGAGCAGGGACCACTCTGCCTGCAGAGCCAGGCCCCACCCTCCGTGCATGGGCTCTGGGCTCAGATATGGGCACGTCTAAATACAGGATCACTGACATCTTTTCAACAAGCCTCTTCCTAACGTTTCCTGTCACCCGAGATAGCCAAAGATGGCTGTAGTTCCCAGAGGATGAGGCGGGCTCCTGGTTCCCAGCCTCTCACTAAGTGTAGCCCACTTCAGAGCAGAGCCCTTGTAAGTGGTGGCCCTCACAGCTTCATGAGGCGAGTGATCTGGTCTCGTCTCTTCCGCTCTCCCACCCAGGACTTGCTCTTGGTGCGGAATTTCAGTAGCTCTGTCTTAAAGTCCTGGTGGTGCATTGGACAGTAGCTCTGGGGTTCACACAACTCCTGAGAAGTAAAAGTGGAGACACTCATTATACAGGAAACAGGGCAAGGACCTCCAACCAACTAACCACCAGGACAATGCCACTGGAAGGAGCTGGTGTGTTCCCCATGGGATAGAGTATTTCATCTTGCTGGTGACTGAACCCTGCTAGTGGGACCTCACACCCAAGAAGCCAGCTTCTCTCTCAGGAAACCTTGGATACCCCAGCCCCATCTATCACATTTTGGCCCTCACCTTGTACTCAGGGAAGAACTCCTTGTAGCCTCCCTTCAGGACATACATCTCAGGATAATGCAGCGCAGGGTATTCATTCATGGCTCGATCTTCCTCCCTCAGATAACGGCACCTTCAAACAATGACAAGGGGAGCAGTCAGACAGGCAGCAGAGGGATTCACCCCAGCATGGACTCTTGCCTGCGCCTTCCCCCTCTCGTTAGGCAGGGCCTGCACTCACATCTTGGGGCCCCTCTCCGAGGAGAATTCACAGTGGAACACAAGGACAATGCGTTTCTGTGGCATGGATGGGAAGAGAGGCCTCTTCAGGAACAACTCAAACAGGTCTTCTTGCCTGTGGAGGTTCAGAGCACCCTGCAGGAGAAACATGGGGAAGAGAATTTTCTGCTACACATCAGGATAACCAGCAGCTTGGGGGCAGCTCATCACAGGCACCCGATACCTATATCCAACTTCTACCCTTGGCTGTTGCATATCCAGTTCCCTCACCTTGATGTGCCCTCCTAGATACTCATAGGGGTAGCGGCAGTCAATGATATAGAACATCTCGATGAGGCTTTGGAATTGCCCAAAGAGCAGAGCAGCCACCTGCAAGGGAACAAGCGCGCTCTCAGGGCGTTGGAAAATGAAGGGCAGCTCCCAGGCAAATGCATTCCCCTCCCAAGCTCCAAACTTTCTACCGCTCTGGCCCCATCCTAGCAGAACACACAACCCACACAGACCGGGTCAAAGCAAGACTCATGCCTGGAATAGGGCCACATGACTAGGCATCAGGTGAACAAGCTTTGGGAGCTGGATGAAGGAGATTCCTTCCACACAAATGCAGTCATGACCTGAACCAGTATCCAGAAGCAGTAGCTCCAGGGGGTAAGTCAGACAGCAAGGCTTAACCCTTGCTAAGCTGTTTCCTGCTGGAAGTAAGGCCTGGGTACTTGATCCTGCACAGGATCACAGGGGAGGCAGAGAAGCAAAGAGGAGAGAGGTGGAGCTAGGGGCTGCGCATGCAGACGGGCATGTGGGGTTACAGCCTAGGTGGACAGCAGGCTGGTACTCACAGTCTCCGGGATGATATATTGTAGATCCTGGTGCCTTCCTGTCACTGTAGGCAGTGCATACACCTAGGGAAACACTGAATGGCATCATCTGCAAGGCCCCTGGCTCCTCCAGAGCTAGTTCAGCAGCCCCCACCCTGTGGTGACTGTCCCCCACCCCACTCTGCTCTGCTCAAAGTCCTGTTTCTGCTGCATGTCTTGGTGATATTCTTTTCCCTCTGAGGCAATTTTATAAGCTTCTCTGAGCACAGGATTCCCAGGTTTGTTGGGAGGTGTCCCCCCTCCTCCCATTGCCCAATGTTCCTCATAGGTGGCAGGTATTAAGTTGAGACAAAAATTGTTTGACATATGGAGGCAGTCAGTTTGTTCTCAAGTCAGTGGTTTTCAACCTTTTCTTACTTGCAGACCCCTATGGACACTTCAAATGGAGGTGTGGACCCCTTTGACTTGTAAGTGAGGGTACTTGCATATTTTTAATTGATCAAAGTTGTCTTTCAGAGACCCCTTAGGCAGTCTGCAGACCCCCAGGGGTCTGCAAACTCAGATTGAAAACCACTGCTTTAAGTGGCTCTAGGGCTGGGGGCAGGGAAGATCTTCCTGTTGGGCAAAAAGGAAGATCAATCAGCTCTGCATACTAACAGTTAAGGGCTCCTTCTTCCATGCCTAGGCCTGACCTTTCTGCAAGCAGGGAGACCTTGAGGGTACATGGGGCTGGAGCAAACACATACCTTGGAGAAGTCCCCAATGAGTTGTCTGAGGCCATGGTCCTGATCCAGGATTTTGGTGATCTCCATGTCGGAGAGTGAGGCCGTCTTCTTCAGAGTCGCACCCTGTAACCACCCAGGCAGCCATCAACAATACATATGCAAGCCAGTCCTGACCACCCAGCCCAGTGGGTGGCAAAAGGCTGGGCTGCCCCTGCCATGAACCCCGAGACCAGGTCCTGACGACACTGCCTAGACTAGTTTCTGTCTGCCTTTAGAGCCCAGCACTGCAACTGCAGCTAAGGCTGAGGGGATGAGGATTCAGAATGCAGACGCAGCTGGGCTGGCTCCCTTACCCCCTCCGGTTCTTCCTGGATCAGGCTGCATCTCCGTTTCACCTTAACAGGAGTTTCATTATCCTGACCCCTCACTATTCGCTTTAGCGCTGGCCTGTCAAATTTCTCCGGCATTGATGGGGAGCGGTACAGGCGGCTTCTGCTCACAGAGACCTGCTTGGAGACGGGCAAGTGGGAAGGGAACAGCAAGTCATGAGGGGGCACCGTCACCTCAGCACCCCCTGAGTAGAGCCCCGTTAGGGCTGGAAGCCAAATAGCAACTCTGAGTGGCTCCGTAGCATGGCAAGGACCCCTGCTTTGCAGGCACAGTCTTTGCTCTAACACCTGGGGCTCCTGCTTGGCCTTTTTCCATGCTATGTTAGTAGGTAAGTGCCTTGCCTCACTGACATTGATGTCCTGCATGAGGAGGGGCCCAGAGAGCAGAACAGCCATACTGGAAGACTGGTTACCAGCCACCGGTATCTGAAGGAGCAGAAACATTGCATTACCACCAAGACAGTCCACTGGCAGTCACTGAGACCATGAGTCAGCCACAAGCCTGTGTTCCTGTGCCTGACTGGACCAGGCGAGGGAGAAGGACATATATGTCTGGGGCTCATTGTACTTGGGAGCTGCTCTCCCTTACATTTGCTCACAGCAGGCCTTGGGCTTCTAGTGCCGTGTCTGGGTAATGACTATAACATCTTCCCAGTGCCCTGAAGTGACCAGCAGCCAGCAGAAAGAATGCTCCTCAGCACCTCCTGGCTCTTGGTAGCCTGGAATCAGACGAGGTCAGGGACTGGCTCTGTGATGCTTGTTTCTCCATCCTGGGCATGGCTCTGCAGCCCGTGACAGAGGACGCAGCATGCAGGACTCACCTCCATGTCTTCCTGCTCATCAGGGAAGAGAGCTGCAGAGCTGCCCGAGTGATCTGTTGTTCCGTGTGCATAGGATTCCACCTCGGCAATCGGGCTGCCTAGGTCTGCCATCTCAGACTCCAGGCTTCTTACATCCTAGCAGGGAAGAGGAGAAAAAGTTCAGGGGCTGCAGTGGTGCCCAGCTCCCACACCTCCGTCATGTTTTCCAGCACCAACCACCAATCCAGAGAAACTCCAGAGAGCAGAGCAGACTCCCTACAGTGCCTACCTAGCCTCACCCCGGGGAGTATTTTCTAGAGCTTGCCTGGAGCAGAGTGCATGATCTGCCCCAGTGGCAGAAGAGGAATGCTTGTTCCCTCTCCAGTTCCTGATTCTGTACTGGAGTCAGGGCTTCATTTGAGGAACAGACAGTACTCTTGGTCAGAGGGGGAAGATCTGATCCAGCCCAGCTTCTCCTCTCCCCTCACCCAGCCCAAGCTCTGGCCGCCGTACTGCTACCCACTCCTCCCCATTCTGTGGGAGGGAGTCACTGGATTCTGACGAGCTGAGATGTTAACTCACCAGTGGAGTGGTGGAGCTAGTCAGAGGATCCATCACTTCCTCATGAAACAGCAAGGGCTTGGACACATGCCATCCTGGATGCTTAAACCAGCCCCCCTCCTGAAACGAGAAGGGTCAGGAGCTCTCAGCTCTCTGGCTCTAGTAGGTGCTGAGAACTACCTTCAATCTCCCACCCCTCAGGTCAAGAGCCCAAGGCAAGTTCAGATCTAACCCTGCCATTAAGCAGCCACTGGGCACTGGCTGTGAGGAGGGTCACCAGCATAGTGGGTGGGTGAGAGCAGGAAGGGAATCTCGAGTTCCTGGAAGACTGCGACCCTCCCAAAAGCAGCACTTGCAAAACACTGTCATGTCCTAGGGAACTCCAGTACTGAGACTGCTCCAGCCTGCCCTTAACTGGTTCAGCAGGGACTCACCTTTGCCATGGTCATCAGGGGACTGGCCATCTCACTGCTCTCGCAGTACATGGCACCTGGTGTGCTGCACCGTACCTGGGGCTGGAACGGACAGGAGGGAACGCTCACTGGAGACAACTGTAAGCATAAACTCAGAGCTGCAGCCAGCATCCCAGCACACCCAGACTCGCCACATCTCCCAGACAGCAAATCACCTTTCTTTGAAGACGAAAAGGTACTCACCGGGAGAGACCTCAGACACTGCCTCTGTGACTCTCTGCAGGAAGAAAAATAGCCAGTCAGTGTCCTGGCCCCTCTTTTCCTGGCCAGCTTGCACTGTCTTGGGACAGGACTCCCATCCCTACCTGCATCCTCCCTCACATCCACAGAGCCCTTCTGAGCCCCGGGACAGTGCTCAGCAACAACTCAGGACACCTGTGACACCCCCCCTGCCCTGGCAGGATTATGCCATTTTGTAGGCAGGACAGTTTGAGGCCATGCCACGTGTCAGTGGCAGTGCTGCGACTTGAACGGGGGATCCTTTCTGTCATCTTACACCCTTTCCCTGTTTGTGCCGAGCAGAACACTGCCAGCTGGCTGGAGACTGGCAGGACAGCTCAGAAACTACTCACTCGTTTCTTGTTTCCAGATTCTGGTGTCAACCCGAGTAAGAAATAATACCAAATCCAACACAGCTGGCACTCCCACGTCAGCCTCTGAGACACCCATGTGCAAACATCACCTGTCCAGGTCCAGCAGGTGCTAAAACCGGAAGAGGCAGGTACTGCAGGCACCCAACCACTGAGGGCAGGAGGAGCCGCTCTAGGCTCTTTAGGAACTTGTGCATTGTCCACGCTCAGCAGGAACTGTCCAGATGGGGACAACACCCTAATAGCAAGGACACGCTGACGAGTGAGAGTCAACAGCCATTTCTGACAGCATCCCAGCCACACGTCGGACGGGCTGGAATGTCCCCTGAACGGGCAGTCGGGCATAGCAGCAAAATTATCATCTCTATTCCCCAGCTAACCACTTAGATGGGAAGGGGTTGTGTTGAAATAAGATTCAAATGGAAAAGGAGTACAAGGACTCAGCAGCTGAAAAGCCACAGACCAGCACTAAAATCAGCTCAGCTGGAAGTTTTGTAAGAAAGGAGAGCTGAGGTACAGATAGATCCACTTCAGTGTGTTCTGTGGAAAGGGAGAGCCCTGGGCCAATCGACCCAATGCTAACACTCAAAAAATAGCTGTTCTTCAAACTACCACACAGTGCCACCACTTCCCAGATTTCCAGGTTCTTGAAACAGAACCAGCTTCTCCAACACGCTGGGTGCGAAACGGTCTAAGCCAGCAGGGCCCTAGCCGCTGCCCAGCCAGAGACAGGAACGGCTTGCGGGATGTCCGACGGGTGTGCTCCATCCAGGGCCCAGCCAGCACTCCTTGCCCAGGTACAAAATATCTCCAGCCACCGCTCACAGCTAACCGAGGACAAGGCTATTTGGACTGGACAGGCCCCCGCTCGCAGAATGGCGTACGCTGCCATTTCAGAGACTGCCATTCTGCATGCCATTAGCATCAATAACGGGAAGCAGATAGACGGTGATTAGCAGCCAGGACACTTACAGCCCATCCTGAGGTCCTGGCGAGTCCATCCAACCTGCAACTGAAGAGAGAGAAGTAGGCGAAACCCGCAGCAAACGGCAGTGCCAGGCACGAGCAAGGAGGGCGGAGGTGGCGTCCGGCACCATGACGGGCAGGGGCTGCTGGAAACGCCAGGCAGCCCTCCACCACCACCACCACCCTCCTCCCGGCCCATCGTGTCTCATCGCAGTCCTGGAGCACCGGTCTGGGCCCCGGGCAGCAGGGGCCGGGGGCCGGCCAGCGGTGCCAGGGAGCAGGGCGCCGAGGGCCGGGCAGTGCCAGCTGCGCGCAGAGACGTTCCCGGGCCGGGCGGTCTTGCCAGGCCACCGTTGCCGCGGCAGCAGCGGCGCTTACCAGGCTCGGGCCCGCCCGGGGACAGCGCGAAGCGGAAGACGGTCATCTCCTCGCCGCCGCTGAGGTCGGACAGGTCCAGGCAGCAGCGCGGCGTGGCCCTGCGGGGACGAAAACGCAAGCGGCTCAG